AGTGTATTATTTGTTGAAACTACTTCCGATTTGATTTGAAACTGTCTCATTGCTGTTTATCAATAAAACTTTAAAAAAAAAAGAAAGTGTTCTGCATCAACCCTAACTAAACATGCTGTTCTGTATCATGTACTAGGACACACTAAACTCTGCAAAGCCCAAGTTTGTTGTTTTACACTTGATCTTAGCCAAAAAGCCAAGAAGCCTGTCACAGTTTTTACACAGATCAAAACACCTAATTTAAAATGAAAGCAAGATTCCAAATCCTTTGCCAAAACATGTTTTAGAATGGATAAAAGCTACAGAGTACATATGCTATTCATTCTGTAATATTTTCAGTAGACTATGGGGCAGCAGCCCCAAAATATTACTATCTCAAAGTAGAAGGTATTAAGATTTATTATAAAGGCGATGAAGCCTAGATAGTCAATTCAGATTGGACTGCCATTAAACTTTTTATTTTCAGAACCTGTAGTGGGGGCTAGTGCACATGTTTTTGCACCCCTACTGTTCAAAAAGGAATAACTTCTTTCAAAATATGTTGAGAACCTACAGTTGGATTCACTTTAGCCAAATGAAAAAAATCAAAAAACAATAAATGCAATTTATCTATCACGTTCCACCTCCCCTTTCTTGCTTGGAAACTAAAACTTAGCATTCACTGTGGCAAGAATAAAAATAGAGCTCTGTAATTGAAAAAAGAAAAATAGATCCCTAGCAAAAGATAAATAAATGCAGCTAGTTCCTGGCTTTACAGTTTTCAAGGAAACATGTCGAGTGACTTAACTGCCACACCAGCCCTGATCCCATGCAAGCTGAACCGGCCATGGAGACTGGGTGGTGGTGCATGCCTGTAATCCCAGCACTGGGGAGGCTGAAACAAGAGGATCACTATGAGTCCAAAGTGTGTAGTGAGACCCTGTATCAAATACATTAAAAAATAAATAAGAGTGACTTGACTTTGGTTTTGGTTTTTAAGAGAGGGTCTTGTTATATTGCTCAAGTTGGCTGACTTATTTTCCTGACTCAGCCTCCTGTCTACAGGTGTGCACCACCATGATCATTAAACATGACTTGGTCTTTAAAGGTAATTTTTGTCTCATGTTGTGACTTGAGATTTTACAGAGCTTGTAAGAGATAGAGTCCCATTTACCAAGTTCTTAATAAATGTTGACTCTCATTTGTACTACTACTCATGATATACTGAATATATTCTAAGATATGACCAACATTAGATGTTAATCTTATCTACAATTATGTTGAATTGTATAATAAATAAAAATGGAAATAGCTTACTAAGAACTGAACATGTCATGAATTTATCTTGAGTCTTTTCTTCAAATTTGTCTTTTGCTTTTTTAGACCACTGCATAGTTCTTTCACATGGTTTGATATACGCCAGCTGACATTTAATTGCCTGTATCAAACAAAATTCCACAATTAAAACAATCTTTAGGTAATCTTTGCTAAACATACTTAAAGTCCTGAGTTCAAGACCCTGCACTTCAAAAATCTAAAAAAAGAAAATCTAATCTTTGTGTCTGAATTTAGATATAAATGTGTGAAGTTGTCTATAAACACAGTTTTTAAATACAAAAAATTTTAAGAAACTATTTGGTTGAATCAATCACTGCACACCAATATACTGAATAAACATTCATTTGAAAAGATAGTTACATATTAAATGAGAAAAACAGCTTCGCAGAAATATAATCTGATTCTATAATTGTTAAAAACACAGAAGATACATTTCAGCAGCAAATATGTCCCACATTACTAATCAATATTTCTGAGTTGCTTATCTAAATTTTCAAGTTTCTCAAAATGAAAAATATTGCTAATAACAACTTAAATAACATGAGACTATATATCAGAAATAAGCCCCCTTCATATACTTTTTAGGAATCCTACTCCTCAGAGATCAACAAGGTTACATGTTTTCATATAGTCTCTGTGACTTCTCCTAGGTTTTACATGTAACTTTAACACAGTTTTAGTATTTCTGAGATGAACTTTTTCACTCAAAACATCATAGATGTGAAATTCTTACCACATTACATATCCAAAAGTAATATGGTAAAAGCTGCTGGCCAGTAAGTACAAAAGACACAAATATACGTATATAAAAATATTTGTAATTAGTAATTATATATCAACAAACACATTATTTTTGCAAAACTTCACTCATGCATACTAGGCAAGTGCTCTACCACTGAGCTACACCTTAAGAACCACACAGTATTTCTCAAATAGCAACTGTAGAAACACTTAGCTACAGTCTTTGTATCAGACTAGAGACAAAACAATGGCTATCAGAACATTTCTATGGTAAAAATAACTTCTAAAATATTTTCATGTTTGTGCTAATAGTGCAATTCTAAGAGTTCATAACCAGTAGATTACCTTCTCTGGGGGACTTAGAAACTCATCTTTTATTTTGCGCATCTCCTTAAGTGTTATTTTTGCAGTATTGCCGAAGTCCACATATCTAACTTCAACTTCCCGATGTCCAGGCAACCCTTTAAAAATTAAGCAATCTGAAATCACAAACTTACAGATCATGTCGATCCAGTCTTTTATGTTTTAAAGAAACCCCACTCCCCATAATATTGGAGACTGAAGCAGGGTCTTCACAGTGAGCTATATCCCATCCCCTTTTTAAAACTCTAATATCTAAGTTCCTTAGGCAGGACTTGAAATCTTTCTGCCTCAGGCTCCTAAGTGACTTGTGCTATCATGTTTTAGAAATATTTGGTAGGATCAAATATGAAAGTTTAAATGACCTATCAACACATTGAAATCACTCAGTATCTATGGTTAACTATATTCTTTTTGGGGGCACATGTGCTAAGCATTATGAAATGTGTTGCTATTATTTTCAAGTTTAAAGACTAATCAGGTATACACCATTTCAGCAGGAGGATGAGTTTTGTGTTCTCTGCTCCTTGGCAGAAATGTAAGTAGTTGGCATGGTACTGACACTCAAGATGACACTTTATACAACTTAGACTCTATGGTAGTGGATAGTGTGAGAAGTGAGAAGGCACATATTACAAATTTAAGACCAGAATGTAGAAAAACCTCTCCCTACTTTCTGTCCCCTGGAATCTTCAGTGTAGAAGGATATTCTTAACTGTATCAACAACATTACCTTTCTTACCCTTTCTTGAAACTCTTTATGGTGATGTAGCTTAAAACAAATAAGGTGGACATGGGATAAAGACTAATGTACTTTTCTTACCCAAATTATCTATCACATATGAGAACAGAGTGAACTGGGAAGGTGTTAAGCTTATATATTCTTTGAGGAAACTATATGACAGTGGGTTCCCTAAGTAAAGGTGTAAACTAAAAAGGAAAACAGGATATAGAAAACAAAGGATCTGATACCTGAGAATAATGAAGAATACTGCCAAGTGACTCTAATACCTGAGAATAATGAATAGTGCCAAGTGAAATAAGTTCCCAGATGCCTGTAATTCCAGTGCTTGAGAGGCTGAAAACAGGAGGATCACTATAAGTCTGATCTGTGTAGTGAGACTCTGTAGACCTTGTACTAAATAAATAAATAAAAGAAATTCCCAGAATGTGTAATAAGCCAGGAGGCTAAGTATCACCACTGGAATAAACAGAAGAATGTTTGCCTGCTTAAAAAAATTAAGAATATTTAAAAGATCTAGTCAGATATAAAACTTCTTTCATGTATTAAGGAAATGTAGCTATAAACTAAAAGTAACACAAGTGAAAAAATTGTATAAGTATTTACTCAGAACTAAACAAATTATACTTTATGGCTCAGCAGTGAAAATATTTACACAGGATATGGATTTAACTAAAAATTTTGTTACAAGTATAGGGACAGAAAGAGGACAAAGGACTAGAGACCTGTAACTCATTGTCTCACAGAATAATGACCAAACAGATGTCTAGGGCTGAAGCACCAATTCAAGTATTACACACTATTAGAACAAATAACACAGACAAATACCAAAAGAAACAGATGAAATAAAAATATCCACGAATATAAGATATTTTAAATTATGTGATATTTCATCCTGACTATAGTGCTACTTCTATTTCCTCCTCCCCCACTTCCTCCTTCCCCTCCCCTCCCCCTTCCCCCCTCTTCCTCCTCTGTATTTGGTTGTTACAGGGTCTCATTCTAGTGGGCTCAGCCTACCCTGAGGGACTTGGAAGAATACTGCCAAGTGAAATAAATTCCCAGACACCTGTAATCCTCATGCTTGGGAGGCCCCTTGAGGGGGCGGGGCTGGTATGGCATGTGGTACCAGGGATTGAACTGCGTCCCAGAACTTGCATAAGCTTGCCTAAGTAGGCGCTTTAGTCTGCTGAGCTATCTCACTGGCCTGCTACTTCTACTTCTGCCAAAGAGAATACTTGACTTGTTCCAATATATGACATCCTTTCAGGGACACATATGACATATGCTATATTAATATTAAATGTGAAAATGAGTGCAACAGTTTATGGCACTGTATGTGTGTTGAGAAAGACTGAAGTAAACCATGGAGGTGGGGAGTACTAGCTAAAGTCTGAGCATTATTGTGCAGCATTATTAGTTTTTAATGAGGCAGACATCAGAAAACAAGTAAGAAAGTCACCAATGATGATCTTCAACGTGAAGTCTCACAGGGCTGGATAAAGCATTCGCAGGAAAACAGGTCAGCTTCATTTATATATACAGCCCTACTACCATGCTCAACCTCACCAAGGAAATCGCAACTTCCCCAAATAATAGCACTCAAAGATTTCAGAGAAGTTAATGTCTATTGAATGTTTTGAGGGGAATAATTCTAATTTAAAGAGTAGTTTCAATATTCTTAGAGGTCATAAAAAAGTCTTAATTTGTTTCATAGATTGTATCCTAGTTTATCAAAATATACCTTGCTATTTTTTTCTTATTGGGGTATTGGGTATTAAAAGCAAGATCTTATGGCTACTAGGCAACTGTTCTACCACTGAGCTACATTCCAATCCTTTATGTAAACTTTATTGTTAAGACAGGGTCTCATTAAACATCTTGTGTTAGCCTCGAAGTTTTGATTCTGTCATAGCCTAAGTAACTGGCACCACAATATAAGCCACCACACTAAGCTATATAGTCATCTTAATTACTGCTTGGATGTTCTGTTCCCTTCAAGATTCCTGTTGAAACTCAAGCCCAAATGCAACAAAATTAGGAAATGTGCTTTGGAGAGGTCACTGAATCACAAGGGCTTTGTTCTAGAGCAGCCAGAGTCCTAAAAGGGCTCAATATTGGGGAGGTTTGACCCTTTCTTGCCCTTCTGATGTCTGAGCACCTTTGTGTCCTATAGAGAATGCAACAAGAAGGATCCACCTTGGAAACAGAGACTAGGCCTTTAATAGCCAGTGCCTTGCTCTTGGGCCTTCTATCCTCCATATCTTGGATAATTTTCTAGCATTTATACATTACCCATCTGTGGTGTTTTGTTATAGTAGCAAATCTATACTATACATTCATTAGAACCATATTTCAAAAATCTTCAATTAGTACAAGACACTAAACCACTGACCGAACTAAAATCAATGAGGAAGGGGCTGGTAAGATGGCTCAGTGGTCTAAAGCACCTACTTAGAACAAGCTAAGCAAAGCACAGGGACCGCGGTTCGATCCCCCAGCACCACATGCTGGACAGCCCCCTGGTGGGCTGAGCTGGCCACACACACACACACACACACACACACACACACACACAAATAAAATTTAAAAATAAAATAAAATCAATGAGGAAAACAGAGCACTCTGGAAGCCTATGGCAGGAGAATCAAAAGTTCAAGTTTAGCCTGGGTAATGTGGTGAGGTCCAGTGCCCCAAACAACCCCTTCCCCCAAAGTATAAGGGCTAGGGATGTAGCTCTGTGTGAAGTCCCTAAATTCAATAACCAGTACTGAAGAAAAACAGTAAAAATTTTGATACAAGATATAGAACTTCCATATTATAAGTAATTGGTAATAGCTTAGATTTTTTTTTTTTTTTTTTTTTTTTTTTTTGGGTGGAACCAGGGATTGAACTCAGGCCCTTGCACTTGCCAGGGAAGCGCTTATTCCACTGAGCCAT